TGTGCAGACTATCTCGGGTGGACCATGTCACCAGGTATCCATGACGTCATAATAACGTCATTCAAGTCCGGTCATTCCACTAGCCATGCGACAATCAAGGCCAAAGAAAATTACCATTGTCAAGTTGTTCATACATGGCGTTCGGAAGCACTATTCCTGATGTAACGGCTGTCAGTTGGCTCGCAGTCAATGCTGTGCAGGGTACGATGACGCAATCAAACAACGACATATTGAGGAGCATATTTACTGAACAGACATAGTATTGGCTAGAACAGCCTTTTGCACCGAAAGAGGATGATTCGTAAATGAAGATATTAATGCAAGCATCATATATGATGAAGAAACTCACTTACAACTGTTGGTTTGCTTTTAAGTGAAAAAGACTGTTTTAGACATTACAATTCTCTGCTTAGAAAATATGCTCCTCATTGCGTGCTGGTTTGATTATGTTGTCGTACCTTGCACAACATTAAATGGGGGCCAGCTGACGGCCCTTATATCTGGAAACCGCGCTCACGAACACCAGATGTGTGAAGCCTTGACAGATGTATTTTTCTTGACCTTAATCATTGCAAGGCATATGACGTCGTTATGATGCTATGAATGCCAAGGTAACTTTGAAATACTTTCTCCAAAATACCTTTTCCATATTAGCGATAGTGTAGCTCAGAAATTAGAAGGGCTTAGGTTTTAAGAAGGGTAGAATTGTGAACGGCACCGAAAGGTCTTCAAGATGGCTATTTCACTTTACAGTCCCATATATATATGACGTGCTCCTTTTAAAAGTGTACCAATAGTTATACGTGAGCTTATTTCATCAAATCTGATACTTGCTGCAGTGTCTTCTGCTGTAGAGCATTCCTTTCAAAGCCAATGGTTTGATTGTGGTTGTGGTGGTTGCCAGTGGTTGCCAATTTCATGGTACTGAAGTATTAATGTTTCTGTCATTGTGCTTTGTCGAATATGTGTAATTACTTTAGGATCACAACTTTTGCTCGTTCTATTAAAGAACGATATCGAAAAAATTTAGTTGAGCAAGCTCGTTCATTGCCTCCAGGCTTTGGTGCCAGCATCTTTCCTAAGCACAGTATGTCACAGAGACCCTGTGACTACCAACTCACCGTCTCGACGGAAATGATTTCGCCCCGATCACGTGTCGAATATTACAGAATGATCCTTTCATGTCACACCTTGCCACAACTCGGCGGTTCCTCGCTATCCCGGCTCTTTCGGCCGGACGCCGTCGGCCGTCCTTGAAAGTCCTAATATTTTCTCTGATTTCTGCGACGCGAGCCCACCTAATTTCGCACTCGAGTAGAGACCAAGTGTTCAACTTTCTTCCAAGGGATCTATGGGGTCGTCCTGATAAAACATATTTTTGTTAGTGTGCTTGTAATGATAGGGGTTCCCGTCGTGTCTTGTAAGATGCCGTCGCGTGGACAGTGAAGACCACCAGGACACAGCATCTGCCGACGAACCGTTGCAACATCAGGGGTGAAGATGCGCGCAAACACTCGGCCGAGCACACTACCTTCGCTTCTGTCAAGCTGTCTGCGAAAATGTTCGCAATGGTGCCATTCGTCTGCATCCCACATACGGCCATTTATCTAACGAGATCACCGCTGTCGCAGTTATCTCCCATTTCCGACCGATAACGGCGACGGCGCAGTAAATATTTGCCCCTGGGAACCTCTTCCCCAGCGCTGAGTCAACAAATCGATGCTTGCGAAGCAAAGTCGGGCGCCACTCTGTCGACCTTGCAGCGGCTGTCTCTGAACAACTTAACGACGGGGGTTCAAGTCATCACCTGTTGATCATCACCTGTTGATCGAATATCCATTTCGGTCCTCTTGGACATCATCCACGCTGGAGCGAACACACCAAGCCTGTCGAAGGAAGTGATGCGTGATACCGCTGTTTATTTGGGTATAATATATTGATATTGTCACGGGTAATGATAGTACTACATGTAGTCACGAAAATATTAAAAGAGCGGGGACATAAAATTGGACTGTAAAGCCAGTCACGTTCGCATGCCTCCTTGCGGTCATGCTCATACATGAACTTCCACGAACGTCTTGCCGCACGCCTCGTGTAGAGCATCGCAGGGAAACGATCTTTGTCCCCGATGATGTATTGCATATATGTTTATATGTATATACATATATATATGTATATATATATATATATATATATATATATATATATATATATGTATGCATATTTGTGTGTGTGCGTGCATGTGTATGTGTATGTGTGTGTATGTATGCGTGTGTGCGTGTGTGTGTGTGTGTGTGTGTGTGTGTGTGTGTGTGTGTGTGGGTGGGTGGGTGCGTGCGCGCGTGCAGCGTGCAGTATACATTTTCACACTTCCAACAAGTCATCACAATGCGCGCCTGTTACGGACGCTACGGTCAGCATGCGCAGAATCCGTCAAAGCTTGGAAAAATGCATGCTGGGATAACGTTATTTAAGCATACCGCGTGTCGTTTCGCTAACGTTCACCTCATTTTGACACCGCCTGCGCCGTCGACACCGCCGGTCGGCCCAGACGGCATGCCAGCGCGGCGTCGCCGCTCGTGCGGGGTCGTCACCCCGGCCGCACGCAGCCGGGCACGCCATCGGCCTATGCGCCATTGAGCGACAGCTATCCTACTTCACTCCCCAATCGGCCGACGGCACAACCGCAATAGGATATTTTTGGTACATTTTTTCCGCGAGGTGATTTAATCCACTCATGGAGCCGGGCTCCACGCGAAGCTGATCATAGGTGGTGGTCGGGCGGCCGTAGTTCGGTCCCAACGAGAGATGTGCAGGCCAAATGGAAGAGGTTGGGCCTAAGAGCAATTCCTTTCCATAAGCGCACTTCTTGTTGTTCACGTGTTCAGTTAAAAAAGAAAATATAAAAAGTTGTAAGAAGGGCTGTTATGTTACCGAATTTCATAACAATATAACATGAGTTTTGGCGCGAAAATAGTTGCAACGATTTGATGGGGCGATAATAGAGCTAGTTTATAGCTAATTTAGTTTGTAGCTAGTTTAGGTGAATTACCGATGCATTTGCTATGTGATGCTCTTCACTTGATTATTGGTCCGGCCGGCTTACCATATTCAGTTCTTATCAGAGCGCAATTGGTTTTTCCAAATTTGAGCGTAATGTAAATGCAAGCATCCGGTGGGCGGTCCCAGTCACTAGAGTGACAGGGATTGGTAACACACATGTTCTATATTAACTACAGGGTTTGACATGCTCTGCAACATATCACGACAGTGTGACGTCATGAAGCTCACGTGGCGAAGAGTATATGTTTCACCTCACGGCGATCTGGTTTTCTCGGACATTGACAGATAAAGTATACCCCTACACCTGACTGTGATGATGCAGACAGAGCGTACAGTTAAGGATTGGTTGTTTTTTAGCGTCGAATAATGTCACCATCATAAGCTTCTCAACTTATACAAAACATCCTACTTATTTAAATGATCTTTTACCCCAGATATTCATCTTCCTCCAATGCACGTTTGGCACAGTGTAATTTCACAGCGTCAATAGCAAATAACTTAACATTGAAGGCAGCCTGGAACCTGGAAATGTTGTGCATATACAAGTCAGGTCAGCGAACAGCTGCTAAATCTAAGGGGGCCTATATTAATGCTAGAAAACAAAATTATGTCGTGATAAATTTGACTCACATCTGTAAGCGCCGTACTGTTTACAGTTTGATAATTACCCGCCGCAAACCATTCAGGAAATTTGTTTGAAATGTCCTATCACCTGCTATAAGTACACCTGCACGTGAATCGAACTTACAACTTTCGCGCACGTCCTTACATTTGTTGGCGGTGCAGTTTTAAGTTTGATCAAGCTGAATTGGAAATGGTTCATGCTTAGCCAAAGGGACAATTCTTTGGTCACAGTGCGGTATTTAAATTTAAATGCGCCCGTTGCATTATCGCAACAGTGACTTGAGCAGCATACTTCGCTTCACGCCATGATTGAGATGATGCGTTCGTATGACAGATGGAATAATTGTTCCGACTATTGTCCTAGTCTGGTATGTCAGTATATCTACAGCATCTCGGCCAGCTAGCTCCTCTCCGGTTCGGCCAGCTCGATGTTAAAGCGCTGGACTCATAACCGGAAGACCCCGGTTAGAATTCCAGCGACGTCAAGGGGACAATGTGGTTTGTGTCGCGCAAATGGTTGAAAGTCAAGCACCCTCTAGTCCTTTTCAGGACTCAGTAAAACTGACGGTGGCCGACAGTTGTCCGACCGAAACGTTGTGCTTATGCTTAAACACCAAAAGGTGAAGATGGAACGATTATTACATCCGCAGCATACCTAGCACCGAAAAAGGATTCCAATCTGCCTTTCGTCTGTTGTCCCCAAATTAGACATTATGATACCCAGATAAATTGCGTGGGTATTTATGGTTGCAAAATTTTCAAGAATATTGCGCGTACATGATGCCCATCATTCTTACATTGTCGTCTGCAATCGACGACAAGTCGGTCTGAAATGGGCTGTCAGTTCGAATTGTTACGTTAGCTCTGCTGCCGCATTCAATCACTCCACACCCTCCCGATAAATGATGCCGATGCAATGGAGTGGAGAAGGGAGGGAGGGGGGGGGGGGGGGCACAGCGAAGTATGAATGGGGCTCAGGCCGCCACTCGTGTAACACCACACGCTGTTATTCAATTCCTGTCATACAAACGCGCTCGCACACATCGCCCGAGTGTCGGCCGGGGCAGGCGAGCGACGAACCGGCACGATTGGGGCGACCCCGCCGTCCGCTGGAGGCTCGGCGGCGCGCTCGATCCAACTTGGAAACAGGTAGCCGGCCGACAGAACCGTGTGAGCACTACTCTTCCGAGACGGTCCACCATCAGCGCCGGACGCACGCATCCGACACGATGCGCTGGGCGCGAAAGGGGACACGGAGGAGGGGAACGTCGCGCCGCGTCCGACCGCGCGCTGCGTGACGCGGTAGGTCGCGTCTACCTGAGAAATTTATACATCACCCCAATCAGCAGCACGAACACCAGGCACAGGATCACGACCGTTATCAGCTTGGCGAACAGGTTCATGTGCGCCTCGGTCTCGTTGAACGGGTCGCGCCGCTTGTGGCGCATCTCGCCGCCGGCCAGCGTGGGGAAGGCCAGCCGCTGGGTGAAGGTGAGCCGCTGCGGCCCGGGCAGCACCGCCCACTGCGCGTCGTCGAACGGGCCCTTGACGAAGTAGACGGAGCCGCGCTGCGAGCTGAGCGACAGCGTCTGGCTCAGTCGCGAGAGTGTCGACGGCCGGCGCAGCGCCGCCAGCTCGTACGAGTGGCTGAGCCGAGAGCCGCGCGAGCCCGCCGACGAGCGCGAGAGGCGGCGCGGCTCGATGACGCCGGCCGGCGGCGCCAGCCGGCTGTCGGGCGGCGGCGGCGGCCGCGCGCCGCGGCCGCACGAGCTGCACTCGCTCGCCAGGCTGGAGGAGCGCTGCGAGACGGCCGAGCCGCGCCGCGAGCCGTCGGCCGTCGAGTCGAGCGAGGCGGTCGAGGCGCCGGAGCTGCGGCGCCGGTGCGCCGGCGGCACCAGCGGCTCCAGTCGGTTGGGCGTGGCGCGACGCTGCTCGAGCAGCGCCAGCGACGGCTTGCGGCCGGTGGCCGGTCGGGCCGGCCACAGCTCGTCGGCCAGGTCCAGGCTCAGATGGCTGACCTGGTCGTCGGCTGTTGCACCGCGGCGAATACCGTCCGCCGTCAGCCACACCTTGACGGCCGGCAGCTGGCGCTCCATGTCCGCGCGTCACGGCCCGTCACGGCTGTCACGGCCGTCACGCAGCAGCCGAGCGCCGCCGCCGCCACTGCCAGGCGTGAACCACACGGACTCCATTACCAGATCACCTGCAACTGAGCAAAAGCACACATCAGCGGCGGGTCACAGCTGGATCAGAAGAGGATTGGCAGCCGTGCAAGGGGTGACTTCCACTGGCGCTCGCCTCCCCCTCTCTCTCCCTTTCACCCTCTCCCTCTCTCTCCCTCTTCCTCTTCCTCTCCCTCCCTCACTCCCTTCCTCTCTCTCTCCCTTTCTCTCTGTTTCTCCCTTTCTCGGTGCGGTGCACTGCCGATTGGCGCTCCCCCACGGGGCGGGCGGAGGGGCCGGGCCGGGCCGTGGGCTGGGTAGGGTCCCACGGGGCCGACACGGCGCCGATACCCCGCCTCATATCCTGTCGCGGAGCTGCTGGTCACACGGGGCGGGGCCGCGGCAGCGCTGTTGTTACCAGGACATCAGCCGGGAAGGCGAGGCCGCCCGGCAAACATCCTGGCGGTCATGGCAGCGCGATGATTAAAGGGGCCGATATTGTCGCGTGCGAGCGTTTCGCGAGAAGTAAACCGCTCATGTATGCATTCCGAGTAACGCTGATGGCTTCCCGTGCCAAGCCCCAGGAGTTAATCTTTTGACCATCTACCTCACACAGCTACCGAAATTGCGTGTACTTGCAAGCTGTTGTCGAGGATTGTTTCCATTGCTTAGTGGTTGAAGTCGAGCGGGCGAGGCATTTCTTATGCATGATCTGAGCGCGCGAAGATTATGCTCGGTTTTCTAGCCCGCCAGAACTTCTTCTAATGTTTTATGCACCGCGGCTAGGCTCTCAAAACCCGGCAAGGTGGCAGCTCTGTTGCAAATCGTTAGACGGCGGCTACGAACTTTTTTAACAAACAGAAGCTCAGTGAGTGACTGTGGCGGATGCCTCCGGGGAAAAACAACAGCTAGCTAATGAAAACACGCCAATAGCCCGGCATTTACAACTGCCATCCTTTCTCATCACTTGTTAATACGTCTATCTGGATAATGACCGAAAAGAGGTATGAGTGTATGCTCATCGGATAGTAATGTATTCGCCCGTACAGCATGCGGCACAGGGGTGGCTTAACTACTGCTGCAAACCTGTATTTGAGCAGCCGAAGGGTGCCTAGCGGACAAAGCCTCCAGCTCCTCGAGACCGCGCTGCGCCGCGTGACCAGATCACCAGGGTGTCAACGGCCCGGCGGGCAGTTAAATATTTATTCAGCTCAATTTCGTCGGCTCCAGTGCCGCCGCCAATGCGTGGAAATCGTTGGTGTCCGCGCCTCGAGCCGCGTGCGCTGAAGTGAAACGAAAGACGACGCGCTCCGGCGCCGGATGACCTAGTGGCCCGCCCGAGGGGGGGGGGGGAGGCCACGAGCCCACCACCGCACGGCTGCCGCAGATGGTGCTGGCCTGGAGGGGGCCCTGGCGCCTACGTCAGCAGCTGGAACGCGCTGCAGGAGAGATAATCAGCTGTGGGCGTTCGGCTAGCTGACACTGTGTCAGAAGTGACACTACGAAGCACGTTTCCAATGGGTTGCTGCACTTTTGAGACCAGTATTGAGCCATTTTGACTGAGGAGAAATGAGGCGCGTAGAAAGAGATCTGAGTATTTTAATTCACCACGCAAGGCGATTGGTTTTGTAACATCTGGTGGCATTTGCTACGATAGATATAGCTGTATGTCTGAACGGATATGGTATAAGATCTAATACTGCTTTGGCTTCATCCATCTGTCCATCAACGTATATAATGACAGGCAATTTGGAACAAGATCGACATCATAAGATTTCTTAACATAGATGTACTACCAAAAGTAATTCAAAACCTGTCCGTTCACCAACCTCGCAACGGTAGGCGGGCCCGCGTCTGCGAAAGGTGAGTGGCTGCTTCAAATTGAAATCGGATTGGATTGAATCTGGTTAGTTTCCAGGAGTCTGCATCATTTGGAAAGTGAACGTCAATAACGCAGCTGCAGCCTTTTGAGACGGTTGTCAGAAAAGCACTTTGAACGTCCCGCACCATCCTCAGCTGTATAGCAGCGAGGTACCTAGCGGTGATTGGACTGCTCGGGGATACGGTTCAGTTAATACGCCCGGGAATGCACCTTGTTGGTGTTCGTTCGGCGAAATATTCAACAATCGTGGATCTCGGAACGGATAGAAATCTCACGCGGAGGTGGCAAGCGCTCCCCTCATGCAGCCAGTATTTTCACCGTTTTTGTTTCAACCTGAGACCAGTCACCCCACCTGACATCTGGTCACGCGCCGCGGGATATTTTCAAACTCCTCGCGCTTCTTTAATGCAACATAACCTTCGCTCCCGGAGATGCGCCCGCGCCCCGTCCCTTGGCCACCGAGCAGCGTCACAGACCGTGCCGGTCGCGGCACCACGCCCGTCGGCCGGCCGGAGCCATTAGCGCCCGGGGCCCGATTGATCTGCTGGCCGACACCCTCGGCCGCCGCTGTCTCGGCCCACGCCGCCACTAAAACACCGTACCGAGTACGCCGCGCTCAGCCGGCGGCAATAACGGCGCGGCGCGGCGGGACGCGGCGCCGACGTGAGCCCCTTGCCGCCGCCGGAGGCGGAGGGAGGGGGGAGGAGTGCGGTCGATAGGGCGGGCAGCGTGCCGACGGCTCCGGTCGGGTCGGAGGGGCTCGTTCCATCTGTTGCGCCGGCCCACTCATTCCCTTCCGCCGCCGAACAGCCGCCGCCGTCGGAATAACAGCCCGCCTCCAGGAGCAGCGCTGGGCTTGTGGGTCATCCGCGGCGGGATCTCAGGTCTCTGAAGGAGGTCTCCCAAACACTGCCGTGTGCGGAAGATCTCTGGGCTCATGGCCATGGCCATGGCCATCGACATGGGGATCTCCTGGTATGTGGCAATCTGCGAGGGATCTCCTGAAACACGGTTGTCTGCGAAGGGATCTCCTGGCTCGTGGATGTCTGCGAGGATGTCCTGATTCGCAACTGTCGGCGGGGAAATGTCGTGGCTCCCGGCCGTTTCAGGAGATTTCCTGGCTGCCTGAGGACAGCAGTTCCGGGGTAACAGCTGTCTGTGGGGATGAACGGGCATCGACGGATGCACTCCGGACCTTGACATTCGGAAAGTCTCTGGAGACTTCCCAGCCGTCTGCAGAAAAGTCTCCGGGGCTCGGGGCTCGTGGCCATCTGCAGGCAGCAGCTCCGGGGTGCCAGCTGTCTGCAGAAAAGTCTCCGGAGCTCAGGGCTCGTGGCCATCTGCAGGCAGCAGCCCCGGGGTGCCAGCTGTCTGCAAGCAGGACTGGGGACGGGTATGGATCGGGTGCAATCTGAACTTTGACATTTGGCACGATGCTGTCCATCAATGACGCCTGGTGCAATGAATTCGCTTCGTTAGCAAGATTCGGTCATTTGATTTTTCTGGCTGAAAGAGCAGTGCAATTATTTCTTTTGAGGCGACAAATTCCTTCGTCTATGACCTTTGGAGGTGACTCCTCCGATCCGACGATTTTCCTCCGATACCGATACCTTCGATGTGACTCCTACTCCTACTCCGATGCGTAGATCCCTAAAGGCAGCTAGAGGGTAATCAGAATCCTAACTCATTCGTAATTGAATAACGTCCAAAGTACCAAATAGAGGGAATGTTTCACCTACGTGTTTAAAAACACAAACTCTCTCCGTCCCCTCTATTTCTTCTCCTCTCCTCTTCCTTTCTCGGCTCTCACCATCACTCGACCGGCGGGTCACCGGCGGCGGGATCGACTCTCTCGCTTTCTGTTTATCTCTCTCTCTTATCTCTCTCTCTCTCCTCTCTCTCTCTCATCTCTCTCTCTCTCTCTCTCCTCTCTCTCTCTCTCTTGCTCCTCTACCTCAGCTTTGCTCTCTCTCTATCTCCGTCTCTCTCTCTCTCTCTTCTCTCTTCTCTCTCTCTCTTCTCTACTCTCCTCTCTCTCTCTCTCTCTTCTCTCTCTCCTCTCCTCTCTCTCTCTCTCTCATCTCTCTTCTCTCTCTCCTCTCTCTCTCTCTCATCCTCTCCTCTCTCTCTCTCTCTCTCTCTCTCTCTCTCTCTCTCTCTCTCTCTCTCTTTCTCTCTCTCTCTCTCATCCTATCCAACGCCAGGTCGTCTCCCATCCGTCCGTTTTCGCAGGATGGTTGGCCGGCCGGATCAGCCATCGTGGCAATGATATCCGTTGCATTATTTGTCTCCACTATCTTTGCTTTCCGGCCGTTATTGCAGTCAGAGGCGACACACACCAAATTTTCCGGTCTTGCAGCTTGGAAAATGGATTATGTGGTGGTGGGCCTGCGATATCTTGGGCAAGACGGGAAAGACGCGGCTAAGAGGATAAATCGAGCTTAGGTGATGACATGGAAGGTCTCAGAATAGCTTCCCTCTCGACCATCCACAGCCAAAAATGAGGCTGTACATCACTAGACTAGACATCACTAGATTTTCAAAAGAACATGCAGCAATAAGCGCTTCCAACAACTCTTTTTCAACCAACTGCGCTGTGATGAAATCACCGACTGAATGTAGTACGAGGCAGAGCGAGTGCCATTTTCTCAGGCTGGAAAATTTGAATGCAGATACAGCATTTGTGAGAGACATCTGGGAGCGTAGCTTTCAGGATCAGACGAAGATCTGAATGCACAACACATGTCTGAAAGTAAGACACTGTTAAAGCCGTATTCAACAAAAGATGTGATTGATAACTTTTATATTATCGTTTAGAAAGGTCGTATACCATGATAGAATCCTGATAACATAATTAGCGAGACCACATACTTGCAAACACCTTTTGCAAGACAAAATCAGGACAAAGATATTGGATATTCTTAAACAATATAAGCACTTGTATTGCTGTGAGCGTGTCATCATTGGGATATAGTGATGTAACATTAGATTTAAAACTGTCAGTTGTATGACCGTTATCTAAAACATTGAGCCACGGCCTTTTGCAAAGCCATTGTATCTAACCCGATTGTTTACTTGCTGCCCAGTGATGTGGGCTCGAAAATGAGTCCTTGGATGTGTGAAAGTGCAGTGCAATGCAACCTCGCGCGCAGATGTGTTTTGTTATCAGGGGACGGTGGAAGGTACGGGGTGCGCGTTCTCCTCCCCGTGGGGCCCTAAGCGGCTCTTCCGGGCCGACGATGAAGGGCTTGATTGGAGGGGCCGAGAGGCACAAATAGGCAAGGTCGCATGTCGTGCTGAAGACCTGACTCTCAAACACCCCCCCCCCCAAAGGCCTCTTGCACCGATTCAGATCCCGCTGGATAAATGTGACCCACGTTGCCCGGAGACCACCAACGCTGAACGGTCGGCTCCGGGTCGGTTCGAGCCTTGGAGCCCATTTCCCAGGCAGGGACAAGACCGGGGTCGACGATTTGCATTGGTCAGGACCCCTGAAACAATAAGGAGGCGTCTGTGTCTATCAGGGGCCCACAGTGCCTAACGGGAGATCCTGTGCTGGCAAGAGACTCCTAGAGCAAATTGAGTAAATTGGTTGAACGGAGACAGAGACGTAACCCCGAACGCTAGAGGGTCTTTTGAGTTGGTTGGGACCCTCTGGCGATGACAGGAAATATTAGAACTCACGATGTCTACAATGAGACAATGAGTGGGTCAAAAATGAGATAATAAAGGGGACCACATGCCCCTGTCATTCTTTTCTCGTCTTGCGACTCACACAGATGT